AAATGCGTAGCTTTCCGTGGAAAAAAGCAATGGGTTTAGAAAATACAGATTACAGAAATGGCGTGGTTGACTCCTAACATCTTATTTCAGGAATTTTGAAAAAGTTTATTCGGAAAAAAACTTGAACAATGTTACTAATTTTCAACATTTGTTTGAGAGCATGAAAGGCCACAGGCACTGACTGTAACACGACTGTCACCGTCTCCAGCTGATGTTAGCAGGATGAGGTTCCAGACGCCAGGGGACCAGAGAGTGGGGGCGGGGCAGAGGGCGGGAGGGGGTCACGTTGGTAATAAACTGAGAGAGACTAACCCGCACAGGGAGCTGGGGAGACCTTTCACCCCTCAGTCACCGAGCTGGCCGGCTGGACGGTCTTTCAACAAACACTTCTGTTTGAAAATTATCCTGAAGGCAAATCTTTAAATGTGACTTTTGTCCCACTAGATGACCGACCGTAAAATCGAAGTTAAGGAGCAAGGAAATCGGCAAGCTCGCGACCTGGTCCATTTTACCGGCCGGGATAAACAGAGCACGGCGGGGCGGGGAGGGGGGGGGGCCTGAATTCGGGCCGCGTGGAAGACAGGGCTGACTTAGCCTGCACGCAACCCCATGAGCCACGGGCAGGTGGGGGTGACGGCCGGAGGGGCGGTGACGACAGGCGGGGGCCAGCAGCACCGCACAGCAGCTGTGTGACCGGGCGCGGCCGAAACAAGTCGTGTGTCTGTCTGTCCAGGGGCTCCCAGCGGCACCAGAGGGGTGCGGAGCGATCTCGGTGAGGCTGGACGAACACAACGCGAATGTCACCCGAGAGGCGGGACCCATGAAGAAACCCCCCAGAGAAGACACCGCGCTACACAGGAACGTGACTGAGCCCCGAGTGCCCCGAGGGGTCCCTCAGCAGACGGGGCGGAGCCGCAGGGGGGACCGTGATCCCGGGGGGAAGCCCAGCAGCGAAAGGAAAAGAGAATAAAAACATAAAGGCAGTGTAAGGGACGCGTGTGGCACCACATGGAGCGGACTGACATGTGCATTATAGGGGCCCAGAAGGGAAAGCCAGAAAGGGACAGAGAACGTACTTGAGGACACAGCGGCTGGAAACTTCCCTACCCGGACAAGGAAACACGTGCACAGGAGCTGGCAATCCCAGAGAGAGACCCAGATGCGGCGACCCCGAACAGACCCGCACCTGGACCCGGAAAGGGCCGCAGCTGAGTTCCGACAACCTCCTGCAGAGGACCTCACACCAGCCCAGCCCCAGCTCTCCCCAGACGCCGAGGAGCAGGGAGCACTGCCCGCCGCGCCCTGCGAGGCCCGCCTCACCCTGCCCCCGACGCCGGATAGCAGCACCTGGAGGAAATCGCACAGCAGCACCCCTGGCGCGCAGAGACGAAGAGGCTCCCAACAAAGCGTCACAGGCTGAGGTCAAGAACTCCGTCACAGGGTTCTGTGGTTGCAGACTGTGGCCCAGGTGGCCGTTCTCATCGGACGCAAAGATGGCGCAGCACACACAGACCGATGGATACAACACATCACATTAACGGACTGAAAGGGGAAATGGCTGGACACACGGGAAACAAGGATCTTGCGGTCTCCCTTGCGTCCCCACATAGATTCCGGAAAGTTAAACTTGTCACGACAGAGTGCCATGGGGGTTCCTCCAGGCCAGCGAACGGGGAAGATGGGCGCTAACGTAAGTTTTCCAAAGTTCTCGCTCTGCTGTGCAAGCTGGAATGCCACTGGCGGCACTGGGGGTCGTCTTCCTCGGAGGGGCAGGGCCGTCTGGCTCACATTGGGGGACGCCAGGCGGCGAGGACATTCCCAAGGGACACGCGTGTGAGTCTCCCAGCGTGGGCCCTCGGGGAGGGAGCCCGCGGGCCCTGCGTTTCCATGACATTGTGACCAGTGTGCTGGCCTGGGAGCGCCTGGAGGCGTCTGGGGGCACTTGGGAGGTCCCAGGTCTGCGCTTCGAAACAGACACTGCTTTACTCTGACCCGTGGTCCATCCTGTCCCCCAGAGCGTGTGGGCCGGGCTGAGGGGGGGTGGACCCCCGCTCGGGAGATCCTAGTGACGTGGAGAAGGGGAGCGGGGGCCACGGACACCCACGCAGAGCAGCATGGGGGTGGGGGGAGGAGGAGAAAGGTGTTTATTCCAGCTGTCGGCCTCTGGGCAAGCAGGTGGGTTCGGGACAGCAGGGGAGCTGGTGGGGGGGCCTCTGTATTTCATCCAACGCACGAAACAGGCTGGGGGTTAAGTCTGTTACAACAAACAGGCCCGTTTTTGTTTTGCAAATGAAAACAGAGCCCGAGTGCACGCGGACGAGGCAGGGGCTGTGCGCCCGGCCGGGGTTCCGGGGGAGCTGCAGGGGTCCCTGCTGCGCAGGGTCCGTCCCGTCCTTCCCACGCGCTGTTGTGGGTGGCGCACTCGGGCCCGTGAGCGGTGCAGCCGCCGGTCAGCGCACGCGGTTCTGCTGTCACGCCGCCCTGCGGGGCGGCCATACTCTTGGGACAGTCGACACCTGAGCACGATCACCTGTCTCGCTCTCCGCCCAAGTCACGTCTTCTCCCCCTGAAGATCAGAGCGCTGTTAACCCGAGTCTTTCCTGGCGTGTTTATGTTTGCGGCTTTTTAATGAACACTCCTGTGTTTCAGTCCCATCTGGCTTTTACTGGGGTGTAGGCTGTCATGCTCGCTGATAACAGTTTTTATAGCAGTGCTGCTGACATCATTTCCCCCCCTCCCCAATTCATCCTTCCCCTTCTGGATTTTACGAAACGCCATTTGTGTTGGTCGAAACACAAAACGCACACTCAGTCCGCGGGTGTCCGGGCTCCGGGCTCGCTCCCCGAGCCACCACCGTGTGTGGCTCCTGCTGGAACTCCCCCCGGGGCCGGCTCCCGCGGCCGCTGGAACCGGTCAGCACGCCCGTCGTAGCTTACATAACACACACTTGGCTGGTAGATCGGGAGGTCACCAGTCCAACGTGGGCCTCCCGGGACAGGGCACAGGGGCGCAGGCCTGGGTCCTTACGGGGCTTGGCTGGGGGGCGGTGTCCGCACCCTCCTTCCCCAGCCCCTGGAGCCGGCCCCCTCTTTTTCCTCGGCCCCCAGCCCCCCTCCATCCTCACAGCCCACCAGCGGGAGCCCCAGCTCCTGACCTCAGGCTGGGTCACCCTGAACTCTTTGTCTGCTTCCCTCCATTTCTCAGGACCCCGGAGGTCACGCTGGGCCCTCGAGACAACCCTGGAGGGTCCCGGGGCCCTCAGACGGGCAGCCCCAACTCCCCACTGCCGGGTAAACGGGCCCATTCGCAGGCCCCAGAAATTAGGTGGACACCTTGGTGGGGCGGGGGGGGGGGCATCACTCTCTCTGCCACCCTCAGTATCGGTCCTTTTCAAAAAAACCTTTTGAGGTGTTTTTCTAAACTTTAGAGTGAATCTGCCGTGGCCCCACGGCACGTGGCCGTCTTCCTCCCTGGGACCCCTCCTCACCGGAAACCTAGTTAGGGTTCCAGTGACGGGGTATTCCAGCCAGAGCCTGAGGCGGGCGGCGCATTTCACACAGCCTCACGACCGGTGACGAAAACCGAGGATCCAGTTATCACGCCGGAGGAGAGAATTCCTTTTCCTTCTACGCACGGAGAACACGCACGTTCAAACCTGACTTTGTAAACCCGTGTTCTTTTTCTTAAAGGGCTCCCCACCCCACCCGTCAGACAAGGTCCCGGCCCCACAGAGCCTGTCCCCGCGTCCCGCAGGTGAACCCGCCCCGCCTGTTGTTACCCGAGCCCACGGCACGTCCCCCGCTCCCCCGCCCCCTCCTGCGGGGCTGCGTCCGCACCCCCGTGGGCCACGCCTGCGGCGCTCTCCGGCACAGGGGCGCGCTCCGCTCTTCTTCTCCATCTGTCCCGAACTGCCTCGTCAGTGGTAAACCCCGCTCACTGCCCGCCCCGGACGCAGGGCCGTGACCTTGGGGCCTTTGTCCCGGCCTCCGCCTTCGTCCCTGGCCCCCAGCACCCCGGGGGCGGGATCCGCAGCAGGCCGACTCTGTTTGTTGGGTCGGTATTTCTCGGTGAAACCCTGACCCAGGACGGGAAGGCCAGCTGACTTCACCTGACCTTGCTTCCTCCCTGCAGAGAAGTCCCGTCCTCAGACGTCTCTAGACCCGGCACAGAGAAATGCGTCGGGTTGGTGGTCTGCCCGGGAACGGGGCCACAGCGCACGCGTGACCCGGCGCCCTGGAGAGCTGACAGCACAGGCGGCCCCACCTGCCCCCTTCTCGCTGCTGCACGGCCTCTCGTGGGTCCCTGTCACGTGTTCATGTCCCGTGTGGCCCCTCAGACGTACTGAGCCACTGTTAGTGTGGCCGCGCTTTCCTCCGACAAGGCTGCCCGTGCGGGGTGCGCCCTGCCGTCCAGGCGGGGCCCGGTCAGAGCCTCGGCACCGCGGTCTCCCGCTGGGAGTCCAGCGCCCGGCCCCGCTCGGCCCCCAGTCCACTCCCCACTCAGCCCACAAGAACCGCTTTTAAAAGATCACATGGCCTCACGTCACGTCTCTCCCTAAGACCTTTTCGTGCTTCCCAGGACCATGGGGACAGAGTCTGAAGTCACCTACTCATCCCATCGTCCCATCAGACCGCTGTCCTGGTTCTTGCCGGACCCAGCCCCCATCCTCTTCGCCTCCGCCCTACTTTCTCTTCCTTAACCTTTAACCTTCCACCTCGGCCACGGGGGTCGCTGAGGCTGAGGAACACTGCGGGCCTCAGGAGTTTCAAGGGACCCGGTTTTCAGGTGCTTAACTTGCCTAAAACTGATCTGCCTCCGAGATTCCCTGGGGCCCAGACCACCCCCTGCCCCCCTCAGCCCTCCCCCCCACCCCCGCCGGGCCCACCCCGGGTCTCGCCACCTCACCCCACCCGGAGGCGGGAAGGTGTGACCATCTTTTCTGAAGACACCCAAAGGTGACGTGGCAGTTTCTCTCCATTATGGCGCCACTGAGACAAGCGTTTCAAGTAAAACTTTATTTTTATTTACAGTAATTACACATCAGGTTATGCGATACATATTGATTAAATTATACTGCTAGGAACAGTGATGGTTCGATCCAGAAGAAATTTCCACGCAGAACCTTGATTAAACAGTCTGATCGATAAAAGGCTTTGAAGCAAAAAAGGTTTTCCATTAAGGTAAAGTCTGTGGAATGAAAATGTTTTCAAAAAGAGAAAGGGCCAATATGAAATTCTAATTGGTAGAAACGCTGAGTATTTTTAAGTGGATGCTGCTGGGTGTGAAATCACTCAGGTGTTTTGACACGCGGGGTCCATTTAACAGATTCCTGTCACTACCTCATGTTAAAATGTCGTTTACAACTCGTCAGAACTTTTGCAAGTCGACTCGGGGTAAAATAATTTTAGAGACTAAGTGAACTTGGAAAGGTGTGTGGGAAATACACGGCATTCTTCTAGGGGGCGTCTAATTGAAGAATAAAAGTGGGTGCTGCCGCAGGGCCCCCCACGGCCCGAGTCCTTCAGGTATGGCGTCCGTCCTCACCTGCCCGCGCTTCCTCCCCCTTCTCACCTGCCTGCTCCACCCTCAAGCAGCATCTCGGGTGTCACTCTGCTGGACGAGCTGAGCTGTCTTTGTCCCCAGAGCCAACCCGCTCTCCTCCTTAGTCTGCCCTCCGCTGCACCGGGAATGGCCCCTTTTCATCGACACCCACTGGCAACCGCTCACTAAGCGCAAGCGCCAGGCCCGCGCCCCTGGAGCCGGCTCCTCTCCGTGGCGCCCAGGGCCGGTGAACGCAGGCCAGCGTGGTCGCACTCGGGGAGAGCCACGGGGGTGCGGCGGGGGGAAAGGAGCGGGGCTCCATGGGGTCAGAACTGTGCACACTGAGGAAGTGGAGGCAGAGGGTGTGGAGCTTCCTGGGGTTTAGTGACAGAACGGGAGGTGACTGGGGTGTCCCAGGGTGAGGGACACAGGGACCAACGGAGCAGGTAGGGACGGGTCTGCATGTAGGAGGGACTGGGGCCCGTGGGGTGTGCAGGCCAAGACACTGCCCAGAACCTGACACCCGGGGGCGAAGAGTGATATGGGGCTGACCCACAGCACGTAACCCCTTTGCACAACCACACACATTTGTGGGCTGCGTGGACACTGGGCCTGCTTCATCTCCTCCAGCGCCTTTGCGCCTGTGGGTACCTAGATATGGTCGGCTCCAGGAGGCGGAGTCTGTTCATGCCCAGGCCTTCTTCCCTCCAAAGCCAAAGTCAGCGCTCGCGGAGCAGGGCGCCGCTTCCCCCGGAAGGCAGGGGAGACCCTCACGGACACCGTCACGCTGTGCGAACACCTGTTCCTCCAGCGGTCTCTGTTCACAGGGCTCCGTCCCCCAGGTCACCGCGATCAACCCGGTGACAGGCCCGCGTCCAGTCTAAGAACGTGGCCACCATCCTGCCCCCGATGTGCATTCCCCACTGAAACGTCTTCTGCATAAAGCTCCCGCAGGCTTCCGCTCAGAAGAAAGTTTTCGTCACTTCAGGCCTCTGGCATCCTTCGAAGTGCAACCGTCGCGGGGCAGGGTTGCAATGCGGCCACATTTCCTGAAGTCCAAGGGCGGCCGCAGGAGCCAGAGAGCCTCCGAAGTGCTGTAAGCACTACACACACAAAGGAGGCCCCGCATTAAAAAAAAAAAAAAAAAAAAATCAGGAAGAAGAGGAAGAGCCAGGCCCTCGGGAACCGCAGCGCTGGATCTGAGCCTCCTGCTCACCGGCGTGGGAAGAACTTTGTGCAAAGCCTGTCCAGCTACGCGGAAACATCTCCCCGGAGCCAAGGGGCCTAACTCTGCACCTCCCTAGTGGCGCCGGTTGGGAAGGGCCCCAGGGCACCTGCTGGGGCGAGGAAAGGAGCAGGAAGGGGGAGGGTGGAGCCTCCTTGAAAAGGTGGGTAACCGCGTCCCTAGGGATGGCCTCGCGCGGATGACCCCGGGCCAGGATTTGGCACTGATCTCACCCCTTTGTAACTCCTCCGATTCTACTTTGCCGCCCCTCCCACGGGGAGCTTGGCAAATACCTGTGGCTTGCACGAAGCCTCCTAACTGGGGAGGGCACGACTGCAGAACACGCCAGGTACGGCGCGTACCTGGGCACTCCAAAGGAGGCACCCGATGCACCCCTGGCCGTAGCCCACTGGGCGTGCCGGCGGGAGGTGGGCGTTCCCTCCAGCCTCCCGACGCCCGGAGCCCTCCTCCTGCCGGCACCCACCCTCCCCCGGCTCGGCCAGGTAGCTGCCGCTCGGATCCGCGGCTGCAGCGCGGCCGGGCTCCAGAGCATGCGCAGAGGCCGAAGCCGGCGTGGGGGCCGCGTACCCTTGGCCGTTGCACGTCAACCGTCAGCCGCAGGAGACCAATCCGGAGTCCTGTTGTTGCCGAGGGCGCCCGTCCCGACGGGGGACTATGGAAACGGGCGGCCAATCAGGAGGCCGGTTGTTGCCGCGGGGCCCCGCCCCCGACGGGGGCGCGGGGTGACGGGATAGGGTCATGGGGTGTGATCGCCCCTGAGCCACCGGCCCCGGAGGGCGGCGGCGTGCCCTTGCCCGCGGCCGCGAGCAGCACGCGCGGCCCCGCACTCGCCGGTCCGGCCGCCCGCCCAGCCTCGGCGGCGGCGGCGCGGCCCATGCGGCTGGGGGCGGAGGCCCGCGCGGGCGGGGCGTCTCAGGTGCGGCCGGCGGCGGCCCGGGGCCGCGGCGGCGGCGCGGGGGGCGGCGGCGGCGGGGCCGGGCGCGGCCCGGTGATTGGCCGCGGGCCGCGGGGCGTCCGGAGGCGGCCGGGCGGGGCGGGGCGGGGCCGGCGGAGCGGTCGGCGCGCGCGGGCCGGGAGGATGCTGCTGTCCCTGGTGCTCCATATGTACTCGCTGCGCTGCGTGCTGCCGGCCGCCGTGCTGCTGGGCACGGCGCCCACCTACGTGCTGGCCTGGGGGGCCTGGCGGCTGCTGTCCGCCCTGCTGCCCGCGCGCTTCTACCAGGCGGTGGACGACCGGCTCTACTGCGTCTACCAGAGCATGGTGCTCTTCTTCTTCGAGAACTACACCGGCGTGCAGGTGAGGCTGCGCGCGCCCCTGCCGGCCCTCCGCGCCGGGCTCCCGCGGGGGCGCGGGCGCGGGCGCCGCCGGGACCTTCGGGGTGGCTCCTCGCGGCGTGCCCCGAGAGCACGTGCCGTGGGGCCCATCCTCCCGCGGCGGGGGAAGTTTCGGGCGCTCACTCCAGGCCTTGGCCCGGTGCCTCCTTGCAGAGACCCCAAGTTCGCTGGGAAGCTGGAGCTACCTGGGGTGTCCCCGCCCCTCTCCCCGGCTGTGCCCCCGCGGCTGTGCCCCTGCGGCGCGGAGCGAGGGTCAGCGGGAAGTAGGGCACGCGGTGGGCGGTTTGGGCGTTTGCTGGGAGAAGGTGGTCATGTGTAAGCTCAGAAGCGCGCCTGGAAGGATCGGAGACGAGACCTCCTCTTGAGACAAGTTGTTACTGTTTGCACAAGAAATGCAACTCTGTTTGGCCTTCCTTCCCAGCGAAAGCTGGGCGAGGAAATGAGTACACTGGTTACTGTAGAAGCCTTGCCGTAGATAAAGTTCTTGCCAACTTGGACTGGGCTTCAGTGTGTGGCCGATCCTTTTTGTCTCCGTCTTTCTCTATGGAGATCGGACGCGCAGATTACATTTGTTCATTGGGTTCTTTGAAATCTCGTGCAAAATAACAGTTGCGAATTTTTCTTTTATCTTCCAGTTTGGAAACGAAGAGCTTGATTCTAGATTATTGCTTCCAGTCCGTCGTTCCTGTTTTTTTCGTGTCTTGCCTTAGTGGTGTGGAGGGGAGGGGATGGCCTTTTGGTGCGGGGGCGGGGGGGGGGGTTCTTTCTGCTTTGTCTTTTACTACCCCACCACCCCCCAGAAAACAACCGTTCTCACCCTGCTGTCAGTCACCCGGCTCCTGCTCTGACTTTTGGCGATGCCATCGCTCGCTGAGGACGCAGTTTGCCCCCGCGGGAGGTGGTGTGGCCAGCACAGAATTAGGAGAACCGGGGTTTCTGCTGAAACCAGATTCTGTGTTCACCAGGAGGGAGAGAAAGACCACCCTGCCAGAAAATGATTTCCCGAGAGTTGGCTTTTAGAATGGGCCTCATTTAAATTTTTTACTGATGCAGACCTATCATTTCCCCCTGTGCTCTTCACATTTATCTAAATGTATGGTTTTATCGTGATTAAGTCTTTAATTTCACATATGACAGCTATCCTGGATGCAGAACATGTGACAGCGTCTGTTACTACCCAGGAAAGTAATTCTCCCTGTGCTGGGTTATTTTATTTTTGTTTAAAGAACGGAACACGCTCCATGCAGCATCACGTACAATGTATCATTGACGGGCTTGGTGTTTGGCAAGTTCCTTACTTTGCGTCTCTTCCCCCCACGCCCTGTTCAGTAGAGAGACTTCCTGTTGGTTTTTGAGTTCTCAGCACATGGAAGTGAATCTGTCGATGACCTTTGGGCGCTCATTTCTAGGATTCCTAACACACTTCACCGTGGGACCGACACGGGGTGAACTTTTGAATTGGACCCGAGGCCATCAGACACCCTTCCATAGACACGGGTCCCTGGGCGAGGCTCGCTAGGGATGCTGGACAGGACTCGGGGCACACTGGCCGTCAGATGCAGGTTGTGAACATGTAATAACAGTGTAGGCCCCAGAGTGTCCTGTCCGTGCATTATATTGTTGTGGTTGTTGTTGTTATTTTGGCAAGGAGTTATTTGCTGGTGAGTAACAGAGCAGGGTGTTTTTGGGGGGTCTTTTTATGGAACCTGGGGTTCCTGGGTAGACAAGGCTACCTTCCAATATTTCTAGTGGTTTATTTTAAGCTTAAATCAGTAAAGGAAAAATAGCTATTATTAAATATAAACCCAAAGGAAAAGGATTTATAAGGACATTCTGTCACGTTATTCCTATTTTTTACTTAATAGTTTTTATCAGTGCCTTTGTCGTCGCAAAGTTTTCGATTAAATTTTTAGCTTGTTATTGTTCATCAGCGTTCATTTGCAAAGCCTCTTGTCTGTTCTGTATAAAAAATACGAGTTTTTAAATGAAAGGAAGTTCACCATTAAATTATATACATTGCAGAAGTATTTTCAAATTAGATTTTTTTAAAAAACAGCCTTTTAATGCCTTCAAGTTCTAAGTTTAAAAAGAATGCTTTGTAGTAGTTGTGAGCCAGAGAATTTTCTTATGAGTGGAGTTTTTAAGCTGCAGAGAACTCAAGTAAGTCCGTGAAGTTCGTGGTCTGTGCCCGGCAGGTAGCCCTGCTCGCAAACAGTGCGTGCACTCGGACGTCCGGTTGGATTCCAGGTAAACATTCTGTCCTTTCCTCACTTCACTACTTTGTTTCCACATGCATCCCTGAGGCAGGAAAACGGTTCCACTGCTGTTGCTAAAGTTACTGTTTGTGACTTACCTGTGTAGGTTCTCCTGGAGTCTCATTAAACTGGGTGCCACCTGGGTAAACGGTGAACCGTTTACTCCTGTGGAATTTTAAGTTTTACGTGGTGTCTCTTCATTTGAGACCCACTGACGGTTAGAACACGCCTTCTCACTCCCTGGGGGCGGGGGCACCGATTGAAATAATCGCATCACATGCTTGTGGCCGCCCTCACAAAGCACCTCTGATTTAGTGACTTAGCACAGTGGGAATCTGTCCTTTACCAGTTCTGGAGGCCAGGTGTCAGAAATCAAGGCGCTGGTTGGCCTACACGCTCTCCGGGGGAGAACCCTTTGTCCCTTCCAGCTCCGGAGGCCGTCCGTGTGTGGGAGCTGGAGCTGGGGGCGGGGGTGCTGCGGGAGCAGGACCGAGTGCCGGGAGTGCCGGCCGGAGCCCCGGGGCCCCCCTCGACCCCGGGAGAGGTGGACCGGGCGGAGCGGCGTCTCTGCCCTGGATCCCTGGACGCCTGTCCCCGGTGTGGAGGTGGGTGGGTGGGTGGACGGTGCTGGGAGTAGTTACGGCCGATAATGAAAATTCTTTTAAACATGTTTTTGGAAGCTGATAAAAGTTACTGTTATTTTTTCTTAATGCCAGAATTCTTTTCTCTTTAGAAAATTTCTGCTCTTTGCCCTCCTTCCAATAGAATACACCAAAAGCTGGTATTTGTAGGCCAGAAAATCCAGCGGTATGATGATGGATGTCTTCTCCTCAGCAGCTAATGCGTGTGTGAGTCACCGCTTTCTTCCTGCTTAAAGCTGTTGGATTTACTTCAAAGTGGATTTTACTGGGATGGCTCTGTTTGCTAATTCCCTCTTCCCCAAATGCCAACATAATACATTATAACAATAAAATGTGAAATTCGATATACAATAAATTAGTGTTTCAACTGGCCTACTTGGTAAAATAGTGGCAGGGAATTCTGTAGACACAATTTACTTTGCCTCTCGCATAAATCTGTCTAATTTTGTGGAGCTAAATACACAGAGTTGACTCTTAAATGGAATTGAAAGTTAATTTTTCCCTTAATATTTTCTCATTGGACTATAGTCTCTTAATCAGAGGTCGATATTGACAGTAATGACGTCTCACTGAGCAGTCCCTGGAACCTGCTCTTCACTCATTCCTTTGGTACCGGAGCAGGCGCCTCGTTGCAGGCCCTGGGCTGGGCACCGCGGGGCGCAGGGAAGAAAAACGGCCAAAGCCGCAGCCCTTCCGCAGCTCGGCGACCTCTGGTGGGGCAGGGCACTACAAGGGAGTGACGGTGCACTGTGCTGTGGGAGGGTGTCGGCCCCGTGGGGGAGGGTGGGGCCTCGGGAAGCTGCCCCGAGCAGGTGGCATTCGCCTGAAGAAGAACCAGTTTGCAAGGCCTTGTGGGCATCGGGGGGGGGGGGGAGCAGGCCGCAGAAAGGGCAGGTGAGCTCAGAGAGCCCCAGGTCGCGCCCTGTTCTGCCGGGCCGGTCATGCCCCGCTGCCAGGTGGCACCAGTCTCCCCACTTGGTGGATGAGAGAACTGAGGCACAAAGGGTGCACGGGTTTAGTGGTCACGCCGGGATTCGGCCCGAGGCAGCCTAGCTTCAGGTCGGTCTCCACGGATGCTTTGCCGGGTGGTGAGGTTATGCGGGCTGGAATGAGATCCCGTCTCTCGAGGTGGTTACCCTGGGGAAACGTGGGCAGTCAGGACAGATGGCAACACTGACATCGGAGAGCGTGTGCTCATTAGCTTTGTGCCCCGAAGAGCGAGACTTCGCACAGGCCTGTCCCGGGGGTTGGCCCCAGTGGTTAGGAGCTGCTGTGGCTTCCCCGCGGACAGGAGGAGAGCAGGAGGAAGCAGGCGGCGTGTTCAGGGCCGGAGGGTCTCTGCTGACCGCGGGGTGACAACGAAGCCGCCTCAGCTCTGCCCTGGCCGGGCTGCTGCTTCCCCGCCGCACCCCTCCCCTCCCGGATTGCCAGCACGTTCCCGGCAGGGCGCCCCTGGACCCCTGGACCCCTGGACCACTGCCCGTCCTCCCGGACGCGCCGTGACCTCGCCCCGTCTGCAGCGTGGGGCACTTCTGTGTGACATTAGCATATGCACTAGTGAGCTTAGCGGGCGTTACCATGTCTGCTTTCCCCTCTGCGAGACTGTACCCCTTGGGGGTGGCAGCAAAGGGGAGAACCACTTGTCCTTTGCTCCTCGTAGCAAGAGGGCCGAGCAGTCTGTGGGGATCCTGGTCTGCACTTGTGCAGATGTAGGTGAATGTCACTTTTAAGGGCCGGGTTTGGAGTGGCCCTGCTAGTTGACAGGTTTTGCTGTAACAGGGTCCCCAGGTGCCTTGAGTCTGGTCGCATTCCTCACTCGGATAAAGGAGGGAGAGCCGGCCGGGAACCCCACCCTCCCAGGGAGACAGGAGGAGGGACTGGCGGAGACCTAGATCGGAGACCTCAGGAAGGCGGGGGGAGCTCTGGGGCCCCAGCAGTGCAGAGAAGCCTCCCTTCACCCCCAGCGAGGCCTTGCACATGTTGCGGTTTTGAACCGATGCCGTCCCGTCAGGGTTGTTATTACGGTTCCTTCGTGTCTCCGTAGGAACCGGCAGCCGGTGCTGCCTGGGTAGGCCGGGTGCTGTGTGTGTCTGTGACTGCGGTGCCGTGTGCCGGGCAGCCCCACTCGGGTCCCGCCCGGGTGAGAATTCCAGGCGTGTGAGAACACGAGGGGGTGATGCCGGGAAAGGAGATCACGCTGAGTGCTGAGCACTTGCTAGGTGCTGGCATTTTACTTGATAAAAAAGTTTCCACCCTAAATCGCACGTGCTTCAGTGTAGAAAGAAGTCAGTTTAAAAACAAAACTGCACCACGAGATAAGTTCCAAAGGAGAGGAAAGGACACAGGACTCAGGAAGTGGAGGCGGGGGCGGGAGGCTCCAAGTGCCCCTTCCCTGGGCCGGCCCGGGGCCGCCCCCCATCCCCCACCCCCCAACCCTGGGCGGGCGGGCCGGCCCGGGGCCGCCAGCTCCTGCGCTCCCCTTCTCGGCGTGTTTTCTGTAGGACAGTTCTCGGCGTCAGTTCTAGTTTTACATCACTCCCGAGTTTCTTGTCTCTGTTGGTGAGTATTCGAAGTGAAAACATGTAAGCTCCGAATACACTTCAAGAAGCCTTCTCATTTGACCTTTTCCATCTGGAGTTTTGGCGGGGAATAGTCTGGTAACAGTTGAGAGAGTTTGGGCCGAGGTGCGAGAGAGCCGGGGTGGCGCTCCCGTCCCCTGCCACGCCGTGTGTCCCCAGAGCGGCAGCGGCTTCCCACGCCCGGCGCCCTCCTGAGACGGAGCCCTTCATGCCGCACTGTGGCGCAGCCCGCCCGAGACAGCGGGCGGCTGGGGGCTGAGCGGCGGGCTCCCTGTGGGGGGGCTGCGAGGCGCGGGGCTGGGTGCCTGTCGGCCCCCCGAGGTGCGCCTGCTGTGACACCGGTGACTGCGGCTGCGTGTGACCGGGTTCCCAGGCGCTGTCGTTTTCCGTCGGGGACAGGTTTCAGGCGGGCAGGAACTGCAGCTTCCCTGTGTGTGTGGTGGTGGAGACCTCCTAGAGGTTCCTGTGGGGCGTCTCATTGGCATGGAAGCCTTTACAAGTGTGCTCCAAACGATCGTAAGCACGGAGTATAAATTATGTATGCAGTCTTCCTCAAGCTGAAATTCTGCGTAGCTGCGTTTCTGCATGTTCAGACTTTTTTTAGAGAGACAGACTAGCTAGCTGTTTTTCTTACTCATGGGTCACCTAACACAGTTCCAGGTAAAAACGTCACTCTGCTGGAGAGCGGCACAGCGGCAGTGGCCTCGTCTGGGGCGGTGGCCGTGTCCCCGGCACCGTCCCCGGCGCCCTGCAGCCTCACCAGGTTCGTGACGGGGCGGTCACCAGCCTCGTGCAGCCGCTCGAGGGGCGGTGGGTCACCTGCGCACACTCGGTTCCCAGGCGGAGAGCGGCCCTGCGAGGTCAGGCGCTTCCACTCGGCTCCCGTGGCAAGGCCGTGGGCTGGGACTCAGGTCCGAGCCACGTGCCAGGAAGGCTCCCACCCAGTCACCCCACCAGCGCACCTGTCCCCGCCCAGCCAGCCAGGCGTCGTGGACTGAGTGGACGCAAACTCGGCCGCAGGATGGCGTCGTTCTGCAGGGCCGCCTCCCAAGGAGGCTGCAGTCCACCCTTCCCGAAAGTGAAGAGTGGGCCCTTTGAGTCGTGAGGAGCTCGGAACAGGCCAGGGAGATGCCTCTCACCCGTGATCAGGCCTGACCGAGCAGTTTGCTTTCTATAAAGCCTGAGGTCTTGCCGCAGCCCAGACACAGCAATCCCCATCCCCCACTGCCCACCCCGGCCTCTGCCGCCTCCCCGGGAACCCAGTGCACACAGCCCCCGTCCGGGGCTGCCAGCTGGCTAGGCCGGCTCTGACCTCCCGCCCGTCGGCTCCGTGGCAAAGGGCGCCCCTGGGTCAGGGTGGTGCTCAGGGCGGGGCCCTTCTCCCCACCGCCCCCGCTGGCCTCACACCGCCAACAGCCGCCCAGGTGACCGCACCCGGGCCCCTGGCCTCATGCTTGCTCCTTCCTCCTCTTGGCCCCGTCCCCACCGAGGCAGGTGCCGGCCGAAACGGAGACAAACCCGTTCAGAGGGAGTGTTTTGGAGTCCGTGCTCTTAGTGACGAGTACACTGCAGTGTAGGGAGGAAGAGCGTGCCCTCTGCCCTCTCGGGATCCTGGTGGGGCCTTCAGATTAAGCAGACAAAAGACGGACTGACGGGAGAAGTCACGCGGGTGTCAGCAGTGCCAACGTTCCTGTGTGTACTGGGGCTCCGCAAAGAGTCGAATCCCGGGGGTTCGGGACTCCTGGGGTTGGCGGCCTGGACTGCACTCGGCCCTGCCGGCCTTTCACCGGGCGCGCGCCGGGCGGCGTGAGTGGTGCAGCGCGCCCGCGGTCCCTGGCGGAACGGTGTCGGTGACTCGGCGTCAGGAACCGCCTCCTGTGTTCTCACCGGGCCCACCGGTCGTTGTGTCTCATCACACACAACGCGTGCGACACTGGGTGACCCTCAGCCGGCCCTACCCTCGACCCCTTTTGCTTGAAGGAGCAGCAGTTTGCGTGGAACGTCGCGGGGGCGGGGGCGGCGAGCCCGCGGGGCCGCGTGGGCTCAGACGACAAGGTGCCGAGGCAGAAGAGGGGCCCGTGGAGCTTGGGGGGGGGGCTCGAGGCACAGAAAACGCGCCCGCCCGGGGGAAGGAGAGGCGGCGTGCGCCTGCGGGGGGGGCTCCCGGCTGAGAAAGAGCCGACCGTGCACTCTGAGACTCCCGGGAACAGTCCGAGGTTTGGTAGTCGTGGTCGGGAGTAACCATGACGGCGTGTGTTTGTCAAGTTTTTGACCTTCTCCTATTTAGTATGTTACAGGAGTGCATGCTTTAAAACACCAAGTAATGCTTCTTTTTGTTTTATCTTTTAGATATTGCTATATGGAGATTTGCCAAAAAATAAAGAAAATATAATATATTTAGCAAATCATCAATGCACAGGTTTGTATTTCATTTGTGTGAAACTTAGGTTTTCCTATAGAAAATGTGTGGGCATTCAAAGTAATGTTCTTATATATTTAAATGAAAAACTTTGCTATTGTTTAAACATGAATTTTTAATGCAGATGTTATATGTGACCTTGTGTTTCTGTGATCTTTACTATGAATTTTCCTGTTCTTACCTTTTTCCTCTGATGGGTGTAAATAAGCTGTTTTCTTCCTTTTTTCTACGTGTTTGAATAGTTCCTTAAAGAGTCTGTTCTTCCTTTTGTCCGTTGTGTCCCTGGGTGTGGGGCCGGGGGCCCTCCCGGTACACTGGGTCGTTCTGACCGCAGCTGCAGAAGGTTCGCACGACCTGTGAGTGGTCAGCCCAGCGCTGGTTTCCAGCGTCCGCGGCTCCTTCAGCCCCTTCAGAGGCTTTGGTCTAATTACAGCTCGTTGTTCTGCCAGAAGCATCGCAGAGGGCTTCCGTCTCCCGTGAAGTACAGTGTATGCCGCAAACTAGGTCAAGGCACTTCTTAAACTGTTCCTGCTGCGTAATAGTCACAGACTCACAGGAACCTGCGAATACAGCGTTCTGTGCCCCTCCCCCCGTGTCCCCCAGGGGCGACCTCCCGTGGAACTGAGCTCGGGGCCGGAACCGAGACGTTCACCCTGGTGAACGTACAGTGCTTTCTGGCTGTACAGATAATTCGGTTCAAAGTGACTCCCACGTCCTGTTTTCCAACCTGGGACTGCTTTCGATGCACACTCCCTGCATTTCATTTTTACTTAAAAATCGTAGCACCCAGAGTCCGGAAGCGGAGAACAACCTGAGCACCCTGACCCGTGTGACTCAGTGTGTTGGGCGCTGTCCCGCAAAGCGAAAGGTCGCTGGTTCGACTCCCGGTCAGGGTCATGCCTGGGTTTCGGGCTCGGTCCCTGTGCAGGGTGTGTGCCAGAGGCAACCTATCGATGTTTCTCTCCCTCCCTTCCCCACTCTCCAAAAATAAATAAGTCAAGTCTTTAAAATGTGAGTATCGATAAGGACATGGAAACACCCTGACCAGTGGCGCTGCCCGGGTGGAAAGCCACGTGAGCCCGTGGCTGCCCTCGGCATCCTCCCGTCAGCTGGAGCCAGGGCCGCCGGGTCTGCGTCCTGCGGCCCGCATCAGCCTGGCCGGCTCGGGGGCTGGGAGCTCACCAGCACCCCCGACTGCAGCAGAGCGGCCGCCCTCGGGCCCGGGCCCGTGTCCGCCTCTAGCTCGGCCCGGACAGTGGGCCCACTGCTGGCTGCATTCTGACCGTCCCTCCAGACATGCCTGGGCTTCGTGCTGCTGGCCAGGCCCGCCCTTCCCGGCCTGTTGCTGGGGCGTGCTTCCACCAGGGCAGACCCGGCTCCGCAGGTCCCGGTCTCCCTCCATGTGAGCTTGCTTTCTGTGTAGCAGGATTCTCTCTTAAATAAATCCCTTGTTCGGGGCTCGGGGCAGACACGGCTCTGTTCGGAGGGCCGTGGCAGCAGTGTGGGCGGAGGACAGGTCCTCCTGATCGCCCTGGTGGGGGGTGGCCAGCTGCTGGCGGTGCGCTTACCACACGCCGGGGGCCCCCCCCCACCCCACTTCCAGGATAGAGCTGGAGCCTTTCCCCGGAAACAGGGAAGCTGGGGGCCCAGACAAGCTGTCCCTCGGCTTTGGGCTCCAGAGGCCCCCGGGCTTTGCCGTGGGCTGGGGTCGCTCGCTGGCCGCCGTGCCCAGGGCCCTTCCCAGCTCCCTCGCGAGGCGTCCTCCGTGGCCGCGAGCGGCAGCAGGGGCGTTTCCAGGGCCGCCGCTCAGCCCGGACGTCCCGGTGTGCCCTCCTCTGGGCCAGCCGGAGCCCGCGTCTCCTCCGGCCCGACCGCCCCGAGGGCTCACCTGTCGCTGCGTTCTCCCCGCCCTCGTTTCCGCGCCACGGTCCTCGCTCCTGCAGGTGTGGTCCCTGCCGCCCTGTTTCTCTGCGGAGCCAGCCGGGGCGGCGCCGCTGAGTCCTTCCTCTCGGCCTCCTGGGACCTCTGCCCCGGCCTCCGGTTCCCTCATTAGTCCCGTGAAATGCTCTTCCTGGTTTAGGGGTCATCTTCCTTGACTGACACCTGTGTGGTGGGTAGACTGTCATGCAGAGGTGTGGGCTATGGGGTCAGAGAGACCCTGGTTCATTTGCTGTTCTGCCACAGGCTGTGTGATAGTGGGCAGGTTCCTTAACCTCTCTGAGCCCTCCCGGTAAGGTGTGAGTAGTATCTCCTGATGAGGAGTTGCAGGCAGCTTGCATAGCTGGCCCGCAGTCTCACCGAGCACCAGAGTGCACGGGTCCGTGCCAGGCCAGAGCTCCCTGCGCAGTCTCCAGACCGCAGCGCCCGTGGGAGTTCGGGGCTTGTTGCATCCTTGCGTGGACCGGGAGAGCTGGCCTTCCTTGCTTCCCTCCTTGCTTCCCTCCTTGCTTCCCTTCCTGCTTCCCTTCCTGCTTCCCTCCTTGCTTCCCTTCCTGCTTCCCTTCCTGCTTCCCTCCTGGCTTCCCTCCTTGCTTCCCTCCTTGCTTCCCTCCTTGCTTCCCTTCTTGCTTCCTTTCTTGCTTCCTTGCCTCTTGGCCTTCTCCTCCTGTCTTCCAAGTTAAGCAAGTAGTGGCACTGCCCTGCAGGACCTGCAGGAAAGAATTCTTATGTAGCCACATTTCTTGGCATCTTGAATCATGTCGGGCACAAAGTGTAAATGTCACTGTGAAGGAGATACATTACCGCCTCAGCTGTCAGGAACGCAGCCGTGTCTCATCTCCTGTCTGGAAACCTCACTGAAAATAAACAGAGAAAGTGAAAAAGATATCGGAGGAGCAAAAATTGATGGCACAAAGCTTGTGTCTCTTGGCCACTTAGGTTAGTTCTTAAATGTTTCCACTAAAATTTTTGAAAGACTAAGGGCATAATCCAGGACAGTTCGTTACAAACAGGACATGTGTTTAAAATGTCACATTTTCTCTTAAAAGCATTGGGAAGATGCATCCTAGGCTGTAGTATAACCATGCAGATTTTAATATGAAAATGCATTGTAAAAATTCCTCCAGACTTTAAAAGTAATTGTTGCAGGAAAAGATACCAACTCTTGTGTTTAGCCTGGAGACCAGGCCGCAGTGTCACGACTGACTCAGACTGATGGTGCACACCAGGTGCAGCTACACCGGGCGTGCGTGCCTGGTCCCCGGGGGACGCGATGGCAAGGGAGGGTGCCCGGCGGTGACGGTGCAGCCGGTGTGAGCGCGAGGGGAGGGGACCGGCAGGGTGGCTGGAGGAAGCTCCGTCCTTAGAGCAGTGACAGGTGGCAGCCCCTGGCGGAGGTGCGCCCGGCGGACACTGGGCAGGCTCGCTGACCGCCGGGCGTCACTGCCGGCAGGGAGCTGTCACCAGATTTGTCTTGATAATCATCCTAGTTCTTAAATCCTCATGGAAGAGTTCACTTGCAAATGGTTAAAAAGTTTAAAAAGACGATTGTAATAATCAATACAGTATTTTCCCAAAAGGATAACTTTTAGTGTTTAAATTGGCTGAATCTTCTCTGCACCTTTCTGTCACAGTTGAGAGTGAATCATCCTGTACTTGTGGAAACCACCCCCTTTGGTTAAAGCTTCCTTGTGACCCCTTAAATTTCTCAGCTTTTATTTCATACGGGATGAATGAAACGAAACTCTTCGTTTTGTGTTTTTTAAACATTTCCCCTGGAATTTACCTTGTACTGGTGTGGTGTTAGGACGGTGTTCCTTTCACACAGCCCCACCACTTGTTCCAAGGGGCCCGTCCTGCAGGTCACCCACTGCACGGGAAGGGTCTCCCTCGAGGGCACCCACAGGTCACCCACGGCACGGGAAGAGTCTCCCTCGAGGTGTGCTGTCCTCACTCCCGCCCCTCCCAGGATCCAGGCCTTCCAGACCCCGCCCGCCACCTCGCCCCCTCTCGCCCCTTCTGCCACTTCATCCCCGCCCTCCCTCCCCAGGGCGGGTCCCCCAGACCCGTCCTCTGCACACTCTGCCTGCTCCTGGTTCTCGCGGAGGTCACGTTCCCTGTTCGAGTTTCTGTGAAAGATCTGTTAACAGCTCATTTCTTTCCGAGAGTTTTTGTTGGCAGTAAGCTCAGTCCCACCTTCTTCTGTTTGCTGTTGCCACCGTTGTGTCATGAGCTGCTGCGTGGTCGGAGGCGCCTGCAGCCCGGGCCCTGACTCTGCCTGGCGCGGGGGCGGGCTGGGGCGGGTGCCCGGCCCTGCCCTGGGGCTCACGGGGCGGGCCCTGGCCCTGGGTGCGCAGGCGGTGTGTCGCAGGGCTCGCTGTGTACGTGACGGTGCCTGTGACCAACGTGCAGAATATTCACTCTGTCGTGTCCTCGGGGCTGGGAATCAGAGGAGCTTTATTCTGTGCACATGCTGCGTTTGGATTGGGGTGGTGGTTTGGAACCTTTGCATTTTGCTCGTAACACAAAAAGCCTCCCCAAAAATGCAAAAACAAAAACAAAAAACCCTAAACAACAACAACAAAACAAATGAAAAACCACAGAATTTTTATTTTTTAAGTGTGTTGATTTAAAGTCATTTAAAACTCCGATCATACTGTTTCCCAAGCACATTCTTGCCGAGTGTTGCGAGGAGACTGTTGTGTCTGCGCGCCGGCCCGGCGCTCAGCGGCGGTGCGCTGACGGCTCTGTCTCCACAGTGGACTGGATCGTGGCGGACATTCTGGCCGTGCGGCAGGGCGCGCTCGGGCACGTGCGCTACGTGCTGAAGGACGGGCTGAAGTGGCTCCCACTGTACGGCTGCTACTTCTCGCAGGTACCACCCCCCCAACCCCCCCCCCCCCCCCGTGCGTCCTGTGCACGCGGCTCACGGAGCTGTGGGTGCTGACCTCCACGTGCGCTTACACAGATGCGTCAGCTGGAGGGGTTGCGTGTATGAGTTTAATAGCTTTTTCTATGTTGAAGTAATCTAGGATTTTTTAGTTTTAAAAACAAATTTTATTTGTTGGTTTCTGGAGGGAGAAGCAGTGGGGGAGGGAACCCTGACTTGTTGCCCCACTGACGGATGCGTTCGTCGGCCGGTTCTCGCACGTGCCCTGACCAGGCTCGAACCCACGCACCGGCTGGTTGGGACGACGCTGCAGCCAGCTGGGCTGCCTGGCTAAGGGTATTTCGGATTTTTAACAGTGTGTGTTTATATACACGTCTGATTACCCAGCTAGTTAAATTAAGGAGCTGAAACATTGTACAAAAACCAAACAAATGGGAAACCCTAGTGGCACGGAATCTGGTAGTTACCTACCTTACGAAACCGCTAAGAGGCGTCGTTACTCCTGGGGACAGGGCGAGCAGCTCCACGCGTGTGGCACTGAGCACGGGCACCAGGCACAGAGTCCGTGCTCCACACGGGCCATTTCCCAGAGTGCCGCTCCATATCACGTGGTGACCTTCAGGTCCCAGGACTCCGGGGAACGGGCTCCTTGGTGCTCAGAAAGGGTTTGGGGCAGGCACTCCGGGGGACACAACTGTGCCTTCACTCAGTCGTGCAGCTGACTTCGAACTATGAGACAGCAGTCTGTATTCAGAAAGGGACTGCTAGCATTTTTCTAGTCCTCTTCCGACAAAGTAATCAGACATGTACCTTTTTAAGTATGAAGTATACAGTTCCTGTATGGGAGACGTGCATGTCAGTAAGACGTCAACAGCAGCTGGAGGAAGAGGGGCTGAAGTTGCAGTGCGCTCTGGGGCCGCGCCCCTCTGACAGTCCCCCCCCCACCCGGGACGGAGAGGCACCCGCGTGCAGGGCCGTGCTCCCGCACCTCCGTCCTCGCCTCCCGGCGGCCGCCCTCCCCCCGGGTCTTCGCTCCCTGCACGCCCGCACACGTCTGTGTCCCAACCTCCTCCTCCAGGGCACAGCCCCACTGAACGAGGGCCCGTCTCAGAGGGCCCACCTCGGACCGCAGGGACCCCAGACCTCGGATCCCTGGAGGCCCCCACGCCCCAACACTGCCACCTTGCCTGGGGGCCCAGCGTGAGACGGGGGCAGGGCTCCGTGCGAGGCAGCAGCAGCAGCAGCGCCCTGTCAGCCCCTGTGGTCGGCCGGCCAGTGCCCAGTGCCGAGGACGCGACCTCGTGAGCCGGTGCTCAGGGAGGAGCTGAGGACCCGGATGCCTCTGTGGCCGAGTTTTTGATTTCAAAGCTGTGTTTTTAAGAAAGCACTTTGATTTTAACTGCCAACAACAGTAAATGTTCGTGTGCTTTCCGATACAACGTGCAGTTTTATTTATGTTGAAACGAGAGAATTCTCAACTGATGTCTCGAGACGCTGACATTTGAACGTGTTGATGTAGTTTGATTCCTGACGTGCGATTGTGTGTCTCGCTGTGGGCGTCGTGGTGGTAAGCACTCTCCCCTCTCTCCCGCGGCAGCACGGCGGAGTCTACGTCAGGAGGAGCGCCAAGTTCAACGAGAAGGAGATGAGGAAGAAGCTGCAGAGCTACACCCGCGCCGGCACCCCGGTGAGACCCTGCGCCCGCCGCGCCCGCCCGGGCCGCTCGCGTGCCAGTCCCGGGCTTCCGTGAGAGCGTGAGGGTCGTGCTGAAAGCCCACCCCCCAGGCGGGGCGGGCGGTCCAGAGTGGTGTGAGGGCGGCCGGCGCCCTGGGGCGCGGGTGGGTGAGGCTGCGGGTCATTGGACAGGCAGCCGCAGGCCCCAGGTCCCGGCCGGGTGCTGCTGGCGTGGGCCCGAAGCGGCGTGGCTGGGGCAGCGCCGGCGGCCTCGGCCTGTAGAGAGCGAGAAGGACCCCCCTGGTCACCTTGCCCCTTGCCCGCGTAGGGGCTCGAGATCCGGGGCCTTCAGTGTCGGGGGGCGAGCGGGAGAAGCAGCTGTTTTCTGTCTCTGAGTGTGAGTTTAGACTGCTTGTGTCTGTTGAGCTATTCGAAAAGCCGAAAATAGTCCCAGTATCTACAAGCAAAGACTCATTCAGTGTAAATATTATTCCACAGCACTTTGCTCCTGCCAGGGAATCTCAGGTTCTCTTAGAGGGATGCTGGGGTGCCCCCCGCCGCCCCCCACCTCACTTGCCGGCCCCCCGTGGGCGGTTGTCCTGCCGCCCGGGGCCCTGCCCCCCAGTGCGCCCTCTTCGCTCTTCCTCCCGCACCCCCTCCCCACCACCGTCCACTCTCTCGTTGTCCTTTCCTCTCTCCGCCCGCACCCAAGGAGGAGTCCTCCAGCCAGCTGGCCGCGGGCCGCGGCGGGTTCGGTCTTTACCTGCAGACCCGCTCCGGCTGCCCGTCCGCCCGGCTGTCTGGTGACCTGACCCCTCCGAGGGGCCGAGGGGCTCGGCTTGCAGCCGCTCCGGCTGTCCACCCGTGTCCTGGGCTTGGGGGCGAGGCGCCCTCAGCACCCTGTGTCCCACGGGAAGGCCGCCTGGTTTTTTGTTTTTTGTGTTTTTTAAACTTATTTTGATGCTTGGAACAATTACAGATTTACAAAATCCAAATGAGAAGGCTGCTGTGGAAAGGGAGAGAGTATTCATGAAGCACATACCCTGTGAGGTGTTAATTCCCACAGTACGTGAGGAACTCATCAACTCGCCCGCAAGAAAGCAAATCGCTCAGAAATGGGCAGAGACCTTGAGTAGATGTTTCTATTCAAGGTCCATGAAAAGGTGCCCTGCCTCCTTGTCGCCAGGGAGGTGCCGGTCACGGGCACAGCCACGGGTCCCCTCACACCTGCTGGAAGGGCTGTCGCCACAAAGTCAGCCGATCACAGATGTTGCAGAGGATGTGGAGCGAAGGGAACCCTTAGATACTCTTGGTGGGAATGCGGACTGGTGTCGTCATACGGAAAACAGAATGCGGGGACCTCGAAAGATTAAAACTAGAACCGCCTGCCGTGTGCGTCAGCAGTTGTGCTGCTGGGCGCATGACGAGGTCTGTCCGGAAAAAGTCCAGCCATTGTTAATATCATGAGAATGGTTTGCGTGACATCGATGTCACCTGGCAGCCGAGCAGAGTGGACTGGAACGCGCATGCGTGAACAGTGACGACTTCACCGCACTAGTCGGTGGGGTGGCAGACACTGCTGAGTGAGCAGGTGCGCTGTGTGGCCGTTGCATTCAAAATGACCCAGCGAGCAGAGCAGTGAATCTGCATCAGATTTTGTGTTAGGCTTCAACATTCCTCTGTGGAAACTCTCCAGACGACTCAGAAGGCCGCAGCTGTGGGCAACGGGTGACTGGCAGCTTCATCACGACAACGCACCTTCTCATGCATCACGTCTCATGCAGAGTTTTTTGACAAAACATCAAATCACCCAGGTGGCTCAGCCCCCTATAGCCCAGATTTGGTGCCCTGAGACTTCTGGCTTTTCCCCAAACTAAAATCACCTTCAAAAGGGAAGGGATTTCAGACCCTTGATGAGATTCAGGAAAATACAACAGGGCAGCTGGTGGCGATTGGGAGAACTGTGTGAGGTCCCAAGGTGCCTACTGTGAAGGGGACTGAGGCGTCATTGTCCTGTGTACAGTGTTTCTTGTATCCTCTTCCATAAATGTCTCTATTTTCCATACTACGTGGCTGGGTACCTTCTGCACAGACCTTGTATTTACCCCCCGCCCCCCCCCACACACACACTGTTTTGAAGAGTTACCTGAATCCCTTTGTTCATTGCAGTAACATTCCCAGCGAGCAAGATAATGGGAACTGCCTAAGTGTGTCCATCAGTAGATGAGTGGATGAGGAATATGGTCTGTGTATATGTACAGTGGAGTCTTTTTCAGCCTCAAAAAAGAAGAAAGTTCTGTCATTTGTGACAGCATAGCACAGGAGACTTCTTTGTTTCTTGATGTGGTGTTGGTGCGGTGAGGGTGTGCAGCAGGCCGCGGGCAGCTGCAGTGGGGGGTCTGCTGCGTCCTGCTCTCGGCGCACGCCCGTGGAGGCGTCCACACGGTCAGGTGTGGGGCACGTGTCAGTCACCCCAGAGTCTGCCTGTGCACCGTGCACCTGCGCTGCTGCAGGGTGGTCCCTGGCCGCTCTCCGTGTCACAGGTCAGCGTGTGCTTTCCAGAACGCCACATGCGTGGAGTCGCACCGTTGGTGCTCTTGGAGGGGGAGCGGCCGGCCTCTCCAACCCAGCCTGGTGACTGGGAGACTCCCCCGTGTCGTGGGGTGGGCGCATCGATGTCCTTGTTTGTCTTCCCCGCGGAGGAGCGCGGCGCCGTGTGGGTGCCGCGGCTGCTCTCGGCGCGGGGCTGCCAGCGTCCCGGCTGCCGGGAGTCTGTGGCGTGACTCTTCACGCTCCCGGCCGTGTCTCCACCAAAGGTTTTCGTTTTCCTCGAATCAGGCTCACCGGATTCTCGCACAATTTCCTGGTTTAGAACCCTCGACAAACTCAAGGGTAGGAGGTTCTCTCCCGTTTCCTTTTGGAAGTTTTGTAGGGTTAGTTTCACATTCAGGTCTGTCATCCTTTTTGAGTTAATTTTTGTATGTTGTGTGTTTGAAAAGGTTTGATGAAAGTCTTATTTTGTCTGTTGGCCGCCAAACACGTCGGTGTAGTTTTTGTGACTCAGTTCTAACACTAGGAGGTTTTCACGGTTTAGTTTTACTGTTTCTGTTGTGCCTTTCCCAAGGAAATACATGCAGTAGCTTAGACTAATTGGTTACTTAGTAAACGTCCAGTTCGATGTTCTTACGGAGCGGCTTGTAAATCAAGTCACTGGAAACGCATCACAGCCCTGGCCGGTGTGGCTCACTTGGTCGGACCATTGTCCCAAACCCTTCAGGGTCGTGGGTTCGATTCCCCATCAGGGCACATACCCAGGCTGTGGGTTCGGTCCCCAGTCGGGGCTTGTATGGCAAGGCAGCCAGTTAATCAATCTCTCTCTCTCTCTCTCTCATTCCCTCTCCCTCTCCCCGCCCCCCCCCCACTTCCTCTCTCTCTAAAAGCAATGAAAAATGTCCTCAGGTGAGGATTGAAAAAGATGCATCATGGAAGCTCTATAACACCGTACTGTGTGACTTTTGAAATGTGAGCACTTACTGCCTTTTATGTTGTGGAGACTGATATGTTTATACATGGTTTTCTTCAAATGGCATGTACTTAGGGACACAACTGTCTAAAACCTGCACCTTTCTGAAAGTCATGTTGCAGAACTCAGCCGAGGGGAGCTCTTGTGCTGATTCATCGAGGCCTTGTGCGAGTCGGCCTCTCACGGCCATGCGCCCACTGGGGGAGCGTTAGCACGTGGCTGGGATGGTGGGTTCCTCGTGGCGGGCCTACCAGCGAGTGTCCAGCTGCGTTCCACATGCAGTCTGTCTCACGCTTATCTGAATTTTGGCATTTTGGGGGTTCTCCTTGAAGTGAAGCTCGCACGTAAATGAAAACACACTTTTCCCTCCACGGGAAATACCCTCTGAGCGTCGGCAGGGCTGACGGGGGCTCGCTGACCGCAGAAAAGTAACGCGAACCTGCTTTGTGCCCGCAGATGTACCTTGTGATTTTCCCGGAGGGGACGCGGTACAACCCGGAGCTGACGAAGGTCATCTCGGCCAGCCAGGCGTTCGCGGCTCAGCAAGGTGGGCAGGCTGTGTCTGTGCTTGGAAAAGCCATTCGCCAAGGCCGTGACGACGGAAGTCCTTGTTCCTGGAGGAGACTTGCCTCCGACCACACCTGCCGCGGACGAGTGTGCTCTCTCCTTGGGCGGGCGTGTGTGCCCTCCCGGGAGGTGCACGGTCTTCTCGTCGACCCACACGCGCGCGGTCACGTGTGTCTGGGAGGCCAGGCTGGGCGGCTCCTACGGCCACGCGCCTGGTTTCTAGCTGCCGAAGGCCGCACAGCTCCAGCTTCCTCGTCCCCTGAAAGCACATGTGCCTCGTGGGGGCGTGGCAGCCCGTGCGAGGGCTTGTGTGTTGAAGATGGGGGTGCTTCTCTCGGAGCACGCCACACAGAACTGGCTCCCAGTCGGGCTGTGCCGGCGCCGGGGCGTTGTGGCCGCTGTTACCCAACGAGCCGTCCCACCCACATGTGGCCGGCCGGGGTCAGAGCACAGCAGGGCGTCGGGGGCACCGGCTCTTCATTCCACTCATTTCAGTTAGTGCCCTGGGGGCTGCGCCCGAGCTGCCCTCTGTCCCGGGAGGTCAGCGGTACACTGTCCTTTCCCTGCCCTCGGGTGGGGGCCGGACCAGCCGCGCAGTCCGGAGCACTTGACCGGAGTCGGGGGTTGCGTCCTAGGCGGCTTCCCCAGCTCAGGGGGGTCGGCTGTTTCAGCCGGGGGGAGCCAGGCCCCTCCTCACCCTCCCTCTCAGCCTCTCCTGGTGGCATTTGTCTGGCTTCCCTCCTGCTGCTGGATGCAGTTCCAGGTGGTGTCACCACGGGCTTGGGGCTGTGTTCCCAGACACGCGTGTGGCACAGCCTTGGACGGTTCCTGCTTCTGCTGCCGTTGCCTCGTGTAAACGGGGGACCCCGTGTCTCCCTCGGCGGCCCCCCTGAGGGGCAGCGACCTGATGGCTGTGGACAGCAGGTGCTCTGTTCCGCGCCCTTGTTGGCGAGGGGCTTGAGCGCCCACGGGTGTGGTGTCTGCGCGTGTCCTGGGGCCTGTGGTGCCGAGGGTTGGCAGGAGCCCTCCCGGAGTCAGAAGTGACCGGGGATCCTGGCCGTGAGGGGTCGGCGCCCCTCGTGTCAGTCGACCCCTGACACTCGTAGTTCAGGGGTCGACTCTGTGATGCGTGTGTGCCTGTTGAAACACTGCGCGTGTCTCTCGGGCGGGCGAGGCGAGTGCGCGTGTGCAGATGGACTGGCTTACTGCGCTCCGATCGTTCAGAGGCACCGTTCTCCTCCGGGACCTCGGCCCTGCGTCCGTCACCGCGGACCAGGGGCCCTAAACAGCACGTTTTCCCCATTCCCTCCCACTCCTGGAGCCTGGAAGGCCGAGTCACGGTGTCGGCGCGGCCGGCGGCTGTGGGCGAGAAGGGGGTGCAGGGGCGCCTCCCGCCGGGGACTCCCGTGGCCTTTGCCCCGTGCGGTGCAGAGACGCCGCTGTGTCTGCTCCTCTCACAGGAGCACAAGCCCCGCTGGGCTGAGACCCTCGGCCCCCGGCCTCAGCACGGCCTCATCACCTGCCGGAAGACCCCGCCCATCTGCGGGTGGCCACACTGGGGCCGGGGCTGCAGGGGCAGCAGGGAGAGGGCGAGCGTGGATGCCGCGGTCCAGGACCCAGGGGGTCCCTGCGCCCCCTTCCGGGCGGGGAGGGGGGCTGTGCTGCGTTTCGTCACTCGCCGTTTCACAGTCAGTTTCGTCTCGCCAGCCGAGGGGTCTGCTTCATGTCCTGCTGGTTTGTAAAAGTCCACGGCGTTGCTCTCGTGTGCTTTAAAACAAGTGCTTTTACGTAAAGCTTGAGGTAGTGTAGGAACGGAACAGTCACCGAACATAGTTGATTAATGGTTGGCCTGTCATGTTTCTGAGCTGTGGATCCTTCTCACAGTCACCAGAAGGGGAAGAAGAACCTGTCTGGTGGCTATAACGGGGTCAGGCTGAGCCCCATGCGGCCTGAGCACCCTGACTTTAGAGGTGCTCGCCCCTCCAACGGAGGTGAGTCGTGTGATCGGCAGGTTAGGCGGGTCCGAGTTTTGTGTTTCCACCGGCACGTGTGGATTGGTCTGTTGGTAACCCTTCACTGGACGCTCACGTTTCAAGAAAAAGAAGAGGAAAATAGCAGTTGCGTGCCATCGAAGAGGAAGAGGAGGAGGAGGAGGCCCCCCGCCCGGGACGCTCACGCACCCTCCCACCCCTTCCCCCTGTCCCAGGTGCACCGAGTGTCTCCTCGGAGCCAGTCTCCCGTGGCCGGGTGCTGGGGGGGCCCTTTCGGCGCTTCGCTCTCAGGGCCTGCTAAGGGCCGGGGAGCCGTGTGGTGTCCTGTCTTCCTCTGGGGCCTGTCCGAGGGGCCCTGGTGGTTTTCCGCCGCAGCAGCCGGCGAGGCCCCGGCCTTTCTCAGCCCTCGTGTCAGGAAACAGGGCTGTCCTGTCTCCTCCATGACCGCAAGCCAGATACCCGGGACTTCCGGGCTTCGAGCACACCAGCGGTTTTTCTCAGCATCTGGGGTCTAGCCCTCGCGTGGCCTGGCGTCCCCAGAGCCCCCAGGTGCGTGGGCGAGCCCTAGTCTCTGTCTGTGGAGGCAACCTGGCGCGCATCCCGGGGCACTCCCTGGCTCTGCCCCCGTGCTCCAGTCCCTGAACCCATGGTCCCTCCGTGTGTGTCTGCCCCGCGGACCCGCCCGGCCGCTCCAGCATCCTCTTGTTCCTGAAGCTTCCATCCACGGGACAGGTAGGGTCCCACCACCTGTCTGAAGGACGGCTGCTTCCACCCTCCAGGGCGTTGCCAGCGCCCTCTGCGTCCTGCCCCCGCGGGCTCTCTCTCACCCGGAGCGGGCGCAGGGCCGGGTCCAGATGTCTCCGGAGGGCATTGCTCAGGGCTGCCATGTCCGGGGGGCGGGGGGGGGGGCCCAGTCGCCGCCCACAAAGCCTCCCCACCCTGTCCCCCCCTTCCAGACCTTGACTGTCACCCGTTTTTAGCAGAACGCTCTTTTGCGTTTTGTCTTCTTACTGACTTCCTCAGCGCCTGCTAATGGGCTGCTCCTACCGAACTCCGCAGGGCGGGCCTGTCCTGCGGGGCTTGGGTGTTAACGGTGGGCCGGCCTCACCGTGCTGCGTGCCGGCCACCAAGACCAAACGTCGTGTGAGAAGCGGGTGTGCTCTAGGGGCAACGAAGGGAGCACCAGCTCCTTTAATGACGAGTGTCTCCCAGCCGGCTGGCTGTGTGGACTTCGGTCACCAGTCCCCGAGTGGATGGAGCGGCCGCTGCCCGGGGGCTGGGTCGGATGTGCGGTGTGGGAACGGGGGGTGGTTCCCACCCCACTCCGCATGTCAGAGATTCCTCCCCGGAGGGTCCCAGCCCGGACTGCCCTTCCGTACGCGGCCGGTTCTCCCCGGGGACCGGGAGGGGCGGCCCAGGCCAGCTGGCTTTCTCCAGAGCATTTCCGTGTGGCCTCCTCGGAGGGCGCCGCGGGGACGGGCAGGCGGAGCAGATCCTCGGCCCTGGTGGGAGCGCGGGTGAGGGGGTGGTCGACGATTAAAGTGCAGTGTTTTCTCAGATAAGAGAGTTTTAAAAAGAAGCTTTTAAAAAAATGGTGTGCACACGACTGTGTCACCTGTTCCCGGGAGAAGTCAAGCCGCGGCTCTGTACGGAGTCTCGTCGACGGGCGGCTCCCGCGTGCGGCTCCCGCGTGCTGCCCCTGCGAGCGCCCGCAGCAGCCGCGGGCGAGGGCGGCCCCGCGGTCCGTCTGGTCTGCCCGCCGGCGGGGCGCTGGGGCGATGGGACGACGTGGTCCGCCGGTGCCGCGGAGCGGCGCTCAGCCCTCGAGGGGGGCGGAGCCCTTGTGCGGGCGCCTGGGAGACCCCGGGGAGCGGTCGCCGGGCGGAAGAAGCCCGACCCCACGTCCTCCTGCTGCCCACCGCCATGCACATGCGCAGCGCCCCCGCGCCCCCCCCCCGCCCCCCCAAGCAGACCCGTAGTGGCCGCTGTGGGTCCACGGGCGGGGCAGACCGCGGGGGCGGGGGCTCGGGAGGCTGGGCGGGGCTGCCCACGGCCGGGGTGTCGGGGTGGGGAAGGTTCTGCAGTTCCACGGTGCTGCTGGCTGCACGGCTCTCCGAATATACTAAAAAACCCACTGCGCTGTGTACGTTGAAATTGCAAACTTTATGTACGTGAATTGGATCTCAGCTTTTAAAAAAGAAACACACCAGTGAGCTGGATTTGGGGGTTTGCCCCGAGAGGCTCAGGCCAGCAGCCCACGTGGGGCTCTCCGCCCCTCCCCCACAGCGAGGGGCGCTGGGGCCGTGGATCTGAACACAGACTGCAGTGGGGCCGGGGGTCGCAGGCTCGGAGCCGAGCAGGGCAGTGCGGCCCTGGTCGGGTCCTCCGGGCTGGAGGGTCTCGGGCGGGTCGGGAGCCTCGGGGGAGGCCGCGTTCCCACCGCGCCCTGCGGCGGCTCCTCCCGGCGGGCGGGCGGGCGGGCGGCGCGCGGCCACGTGGGGGCGCTCCTGTCCTCCGGGCGTGGACCGGCGTGGACAGGGACGGACGCCCTCCCCTCCGCGGCGTCCGCACGGGCGGCCAGGAGCAGCGCACGGTCGCCCCACGCCCGCCGGGCCCCTTCTCTTCCAGGCCTGGCGGTGCTGCAGCACGTGCTGACGCCGCGCGTGAAGGCCACCCACGTTGCCTTTGACTCCATGAAGGACTACTTGGACGCGGTGTATGACGTGACGGTGGCTTTCGAAGGGACCGTGGACGGGAAAGGGCAGCGGAAGGAAGCTCCGTCCATGATCGGTGAGTCCTGCGTCCTCGGGGCTGCGTCCTTCCGTCTGCCAGCCGCTGCCGCCCTGCCTGCACCGGACGTCTCCCCCAGGCGGGCGCCCCGGCGCGCTTTCTGGTGGTTCTGACTCGTCCGCAAGTTTGCGTCTCGTTGCCCTCGCTGGGGGGGTGTTTCTGGGTTCCCGTCTCAGTCCCTCCCTTCGGGGGGTGGGGCCCGGTGCTCGCAGAGCCCGGCGCCCTGTCCCGGGCTGTCTGCGGTGTTCACGCAGCGGCGGGGGCGGTTGGCTGGGTGCGGAGCCGCCGCCCGCTCCCCTTCGGCAGCACACCCAGACCACCGGGCACCGCCTGGGCTTCCACTGCCTTTGCTAAGGGCGCTGCACCTTTTTATTTTTTAACATCTTTTTGCCTCAGTTTCATTGTTACTTTATATAACCGTGAATTCTAAAATTAAAAGCATGACATATTTTTATTTTTTGTTAGAATTTCTCTGCAAAGAATGTCCAAAAATCCACATTCACATCGCCCGCATAGACAAAAAGGACGTCCCGGAGGAACAAGTGTACCTGAGAAGGTGGCTTCACGAGCGCTTCGAAATCAAAGACAGGTGGGTACCGGCAGTGTCGCGGGTCGGCAGCGCCGCCCCGGGTCTCGGGTCTCAGTGCCCTGAGCCCCCAGGCGCGGGCGCGGCGTGTCCTCCAGTGCGCCCTCCGTGACGCGGGGCCGGGCTGCTCCGCTGCGCTGGCGCGGGAGCCCTCACCGCCCTGCGTCCCGTAAAGGAGCTTGTTGGGGCTGCACCCCCGCCCGCCCCGCCCTGTTTTCATGCGCAGTCTCCCTGAAGCGGGGCTCTGGGTGAGGCACCATGTGTGACAGAGACAGGCCAGGCACCGCACGATGCCCCAGCCTGCCGCCCCAGCCCCCCAGCCCCGGTGCAGTGGCGGGGCTGCTGGCACTGGCTGTCCGGCCGAGGGGGCGCACTGTGTCCCTGCGTGCATGGGACGGGGCGCCGCATTCTGTTGAAAGGAGGGTGGGCAGGCGTGCTCGGTGGCCCTTGGGTGAGGCCCAGCCCGAAGAGGCCAAGTGGGATGCGCGGGCCGCCGACCCAAGAGGCCGCAGGTGGCCTGGGCGAAGTGTATGCGCGTCTCTGGGGTTCCACGCACGTTTCTGCGGGCAGGGAACTTCCTCTCCTTCTTAGGAAGATGGGAGTGGGCCTTGGGCTCTGACCGTTCCCGGCTGGGGGCTGCAGGACACCTGTGTGCTCGTGCCGGTCCTGCCGTCCGTGCGGGCTCTGTCCTGTCTGACGCTTTACACACCCTGCTTCTGTTTTCTGTCTGGGAAGAAGGGGCCCTGCACTGCAGTCACAGAGTGCACCGTTTCATAAAGGCCACGTTGGGAAGTGTGCCTTTTTTAAAAAATGGTTCCAAAATTATGTTGATGTTCAGAAACTTTCCCCGGGGGCTTTAATCTCCTCGTGTGCGCCTTCTCGGGGGGCTGCGGCTTCCCGGGGGGCTGCGGCTCTCCCTCCCTTCCTCACTGCATCCCTGGGGAGTGTCTTCCGCCTGCAAGTGACGGGCAGCACGCTGACCCCAGCATATGAAACTAGACGGTTCACAGACAAGTCGGTAGATTTCTGTGTTTTACTGACAGTTGTACATGACTTGATTTATTAAACCAACAGTGCCACACACTTTGGTTATGGGAAAAATTTTAAAAGTAAGATCGCTGTGTTTTGACATGAAAATCTGTTCTCAGAAAAAAAAACCCTGAACAGTATGTTTAATACCCAATGTATTTTGTGTTACAAGTATTTGTACATATTTAGGATGAGTCTGGATATTTTAAAACAGTGGATATTGCTAGGGAAAGATTTATAAGGCAAAAAAAGGACTTTTTATTTTTGTACCTTTGTGTTTGAGATCATTATATGGAACGTGTTCTGCTGTTAAAACTTGATGTCTTTAAAACGAGATGGGGATGAATTAACTTTACTTTTCCTCTTGGGGCTCAGGCTTCCATGCTGGGCGCACTGCTGACCTGTCCCTGCCTTCGGGGGGGCAGGGGGCGGTGGGAGAAGGGGAGGGGCTCACCACCCAGCTGTGGGTCCGGTCACGGGCAAACGTTACAGAAGCCCCCCCACCCCAGCACGGCTGGTGCAGTGAGTGCACCACTCACTGGCCACACCAGAGGCCTGTCAGACGCCTGCAGACCCCGGGTGGACCTGGGCTCCGGCTGGTCCCCCCTCTTCTCTGTCTCTCAGGGCCCCGCGCCGCTTCCAGCGCGGGACACGGGGGAGGTGCCCGCTGGCGCTGGTCGGGTTACGTGCTGAAATGGCTGGGGCTGGAACTCACAGCTGTCTGTGTTCCGGCCACAGGTTGCTCATAGAGTTCTACGACTCGCTGGACCCGGAGAGGAGGAACAAGTTTCCCGGGAAAAGTGTCCATTCGAAGCTGAGTCTCATGAAGACGCTGCCGTCACTGCTGATCCTGAGCGGCCTGACTGCCGGCCTGCTGGTGACCGAGACGGGGCGCAGGCTGTACGTGAAGACCTGGGTCTACGGCACCCTCATCGGCTGCTTGTGGGTCAGCATCAAAGCGTAGGACTGCCCCCGGCCGCGGGCCGTGCGCGCTGGTGGTCGTGGGCGGCCGCGCGTGCACACCCCGTGTCCGAATTTGCCCAGACGTGTGAATAAAGCCTTACTGATTGAACACACGGTCAGAGCGAGTTTCTGACTTGCCCGAGGCCTCAGGTGGTCCGGGCAGGCGTGCAGGACCTCCAGCTCCAGCGTGGGGGCTGGCGGAGGGCACGGCGGAGGGGCGGCCGTGCGGACGCGGCGCTGTGCGCCAGCCGGCACCGGCGTCGGGGCACGGGCGGCCTGTGGCACTGCTGTGGCCGCGTGACTCCGTCAGCTACACTCGTGAGCGTTAATTTGCAGTCTGTCCCATGGCGTTGTTATTTCCCATTTTCTACAACTTTACTGGTCCAAGCTCTTGTCACTGAAGTATTAAGTATCTTACAGCTACATAAGATTTTGCTTTTTGCGAAATTTCTCCAAGTCGGTGAAAGAAACTGTGTTTGAGGGCTGACGGGGTGGGAGGAAGGGCGGGCCGGCTGGAGGCGGGGCAGCTCTGGGGGCACCTACCCGGCTCGCGCCCATCTCCCCTCTCTGTGTTTGCAAAGCGATTCCCGCCTCCCGTATTTATTGAAACAGCTTAATTTGCACACCCTGCACTCCATACAGAAGACTAATGTGTACAACACGAGAATTGAGTGTAAGTTAAAATCCTGACCCTCCTTCTTGTAACAGAACTTGAAATTGCCCAGCACTTTGAAGACTGAGGCTAAACTCTCAGAACTTCCCAACATCTGTGCCATACGTACTTGCAAACCTGGAGGTTCCCTTTTGTTTTTTTATCAAAGCAATCACTGTGTCCCTGCGTGGGACCTGGTCCCACCAAAGTTGGAGGTGAAGGGGCCTCCCAGCGTCTCCCGCATCCACGAGCACGTGCCTTCTTCCTGCCGCCCCTGGGCCCGCGGGACTCCCAGCCCCAGCCCTCGGGGCAGGTGTGGGGCCGGGCCCTGTCCCCGGAAGGCGGGCGGTGTCGGCTCTCGCGAGGGCGCCTGGCTGGCTGCAGGGAGGACATTGTGCATCCGTCTCCCGTGGAGGACTTCGCCTCCCTCCGGCCAGTGGGGCGCGGGCGCGCCTCCCCAGCTCCGAGCGTGCAGTGCGCGCGGCGGGTGGGGGCCCACAGCTCGCCGCGTCCACCGAGCCACGACTGCGCTCCAGGCCCCGAGCTGCACCGCACGGAGTCCGGCCCTGGAGCGGTGGGCCCTGTGCCTGCGGGAGGGAGGGCTTCTTCCCAGGTGTGGTCCGCCCCCGGCCTGTGCCCTTGCTCCGGCTGAGTCACGGGAAAGCGGTCAGCGAGAGGAGCTGCGTCCACCCGGCTCCCCAGGACCCGAGGGCGCCGTCTCGGGCCTCGCCTCTGAAGACCGGGGTGGGGGGCACTGGCCTCTGTGTGTCGGCGTGTGCTCGCGCTCACGCTTCCCACGCACGTCCCTGCGGGGAGCGCACGGCTGACGGGCGTGGGGGGGTCGGGGTCGGCAAGGCCTCTGAGGGCGCCCCAGCCGGGGCGCAGTGGCCTCTCCCCGGGAGGTGACGTTCAGGTCTGTCGCGTGTCCTCGTCACATGCGTTCTTTCAAGTCCCGAGGCTAGACCCTGCTTCCGATGAGGTCAAAATAAATGTCAGTTGTGTTACTTTGAATAGAACAGATACGCTCTGGATTTACAGTTTAAGAAGCAATGCCGTTAGAATTGTATTGATTATAACTGACTTCAAAAAGGCAAAGTAAACCGCATAAAATCACTTGAAAATCATGTTTTTTGTCATTATACTTATATTCTTCTCGCAAGGGGTCTTTAAAATATTTGTTAGTTAAAAAGTTTGTGTCCAAATGTTTGGAAAATTAAAAGCTTCTTTTTAACGTGCATTGATATCATCTGGATTGTTTTCTGAAATTAAGAGCCCCGTATCTACTTGTACATTTCCTGACATAACATCGTTTAAGCTTTCCTTTGTTATCTTAGTTTACAGCTTAATGTTTAGTTTTTCTTTGTAGGAACGCCATAAATGTGCATGCTTTTATGTTTTTCAGAAAAGAGTGTGTTTAGATGAAAGTAAAAGAAAAAATAAAATCTGTCACTGGTCTCTAGTGTGTGTGCCATTTAACACCCCGTGACCCGAAACTCACCAGCGGCCTTCCGGCACGTGAAGGGGGCTTTGTGGCCGGGCCCAGGTTCCGAGTGTGTAAAACCGGATACTGTTTCAAAGTGCTGAGCCGGTTTTTGAAAACACCTACGCGGCAACTCCCCGGATTGTGAAGCCGCGCATCAGTTTGGCGGCCTGAGCCGGGCCATGTTCTGGGTGAGACGCACTGCGAGTGTGGGCTGCTGCACGGCTCTGCGATCTGCGGGAGCTCTCGTGGGCACCGGTCAGCCCTGAACGTGGCCGCCTGGGGGCCCGCGGGGCCAGGCACCGGGCGGTGGGCCCCTTCTGTCCGGGACCGCAGTCTGGCGCGGCGGGGGCTGGAGGCTTTGCCCCTTCCGGTCTGCTGCATGCCCCCCCAACATTCTGCATTTCCCAGCGTCCTCCCCTCCCCCACCATGTGATGCCTGGGGCCACCTGCAGTCACACCTTCCACCTGTCTCCCAGGGGAGTCTGCTCGAAGCTCTTTTCCTCCTTCCACCATCAGCTTCCTCTCTTCACCCCCCTCCCGACAGCCCCTGAGCCCCGGTCCCCGCTGGCCCCCTCCCACACTCACATCCGTATGCTGGGCAGCGCCCGCAGACTGGTGAGTGTGCAGTGTGTTACACGTTTTTAAAAACTAGCCCAAAAAAGAACGCAGACCGGTTCATTCCTCTCTACTGATGACATCTTGGGATGGTAACACGGACCTACCTACGACGCTGAATAAGCGAGTGCCGTTCACTGTCCCCGTTTGACCTGTGAAAAAGCGGCCGCGGGGAAATGCAAGCTCGCGTGTGCGTCTGGCCGTCCGGGTGGCCAGGGCAGGTCCCCGGCCATGGGGGGAGGGGTGTGCAGGTGACGACTCTCGCAGCGCGCTCTCGGCTCCGAGGAACGTCGCAGTGGGCCAGGGGCGTTTCACTTGCCTGCACCGCACCCCCCCCTTCTCTCTCTCTCTCTCTCTCTGTCTCTCTCTCTCTCTGTCTCTCTCTCTCTCCTCTCGGCCCCCACTCACTCCCGAGGCCACCACCGCCCCGGCGCTAGGGGGCACAGGGCACGGCTGCACCCGCCCGCGGAGGCAGATCCTCTTCGTCCTCACGGAAGGAATCCGGTGCAGCGCCAGCCGCGGGCTTTCTCGGGCACTTGTTTCAGTGTCACAGTCCGGAGTCGGATTCTTTTAAAAAGCACATGGCTTTTCACAGCGTCTACTAAACACGTGACAAGCCGCGGGGAAGCGACGACTTGAGCTGATGGTGTTCAGGACAGTGCAGCGCAGCCCGGGGGCCCAGTGTGGTGCGGCGCGGCGGCCTGAAGCGCGTCCACGCCGCACCCGGGTAAGAGAAGAGGAGGCCTCGTGACGACACGGGAGGGAGCAGCCGCGTAGGTTTCCACGGCGAGTGTTCCTTTGAAGCCCGTCTGCGCGGCACGGTGGGCGGCCGTGGGCGGCCGTGCACCCATGGACTTGGGCCCAGGCCCAGCCTGTGGATGGGAGGTGGGAGGAGGGCGGGCGGAGACCCTGGGACGGGACAGGTGCCCAAAGGTCCCGGATCCCTTCCCAGTGTCCGAGTCCCTTTGCCGCCCCCTGGTGGCCGCTTCCTGCCAGAACTGTGCTTCGGAAGGGGGACGCACCACCCGTCTCCCTGCATGGCACCCAGGGGCTCCCTGCAGCCCCAGGGAGGGCCCCCAGCCTCTCCTGTCCCCACCCCCACCCTGACGGAAGGACGGGCCCTGCAGGAGGACACACCAGCCCACCCGCTGCCCCCCACTCCTCACGGGTCAGGAACCCGGCCTGCTGCTTGGCCGCCTGAGTGCTGCGTGAGTGAGGTCCATGCCTCGGGGCCCTGTCCCCTCCCTGGGCCTCGCCCTTCCCCAAGTCACCCTGGGGTGCCGGGAGCCCTTCCTCGGGTGCGGGGCTGCCACACCCCACTGCACCCCGATGCGGCCGTGAGCGGTGGGTGGGAGTCCTGTCACCTGTGTGCCCCACCCCCGTGAAATATGTCGCCTCCTTGCAGCTGAGGGGGTGGCCCCCCCAAGGCCTGGTCACGAACGCCCACGGACAGGCCCCTGGGACGCCCCAGGGGCTGCACCGCCAGGTCCTGGCGCGGGCGGGACGGTCACTTCCAGAGAAGGAGACCGAGGCCAGCGTGGGTAGGAGCCTGGCCCGGCACCTGCCCTCAGGGTCACTGAGGGTCGGGTCCCCTCACCGTGGCAGGGTGCCCGCCTTCCCGAGCGGCCGAGACGGCGGCCGGTGGCTTCCGAGAAGAAGAGCACAGGGACCAGACAGGAGCGGCCTCTCCACCGTGCGGGGGCCCCCAGGGAGGAGGGTGTCCCCCGACGCAGGACTGCTGGTGCCTGTCTCGGGGCGCCAGCCTCCTGACCCCCGGTGCCGTCACGGAGGCCCCGTGGCGGTGGGCCCATCAGATGTGCCCGCGGCGGGCGGCGGCGTCTCCCCTGAGCGGGCGGCACCGGGGCAGAGCGTCCCCGCAGGTCTCTGTCCCGCAGCAGGAGGTCACGCGGGAGGCCCCCAGCGACCGCGGGGTTTGCCCGCAAACTCGGGGTGCGTTTCCCTGTGAGGCCGAGGGAGGCGGAGGGGTGGCGTTTGGGGGCCGAGGACAGGCCTCTCCGTTCTGAGCGGAAGACCGTCCCGAGAGGGCGCTGTCCCGGCCGGGCCTCCCTGTCTTCCTGGGACCGCGGCCCGCGGCGGCGCAGACCGGGCCGGGGCGGCAGAGGATGTGACGTCAGAGCCGGCTGGGCCCGCTCCGCCGCGTCTCCGCAGCCCGAAGTCCGGGCGGCAGGCGGAGGGACAACCGGGCGGCCGCTCCGCCCACCGGGAGGCGAGGCCACCAGATGGTGGGGCCGACAGACGGGCACCCGGCCTCGTCCACACTGGGAGCACCTCTGGTGGGCGGAGGGGCTCCCGTGGGTGCAGGTGTCCGGGGCAGGGTGGGGCAGCCGCCCCCTGGAGAGAACGGCCTG